AGTGAGAGGCCCACATACCGCAAAAAAAAAAAAAAAAAAAAAGAATATAAAATACACATACTGTTCTAGTAAATTTTAATAACATACTGAAATTCACTGCCTTTAGCAGATTCACTGTATTATCCCAAGTTTTCTAGATATTTCTTGAAATAAACATAGAGCAAATGATTTCCATCCATATTTCTTGGTTATCATAAGCAGAAAGAAACCATAATACCCCCATCCAAATATTTTTTGAAGTATTTTCTAAGTAATTAGCTATTACAGGTAGAATGAAGTGTTCAAGAAATTGTTGTAGGGTTTCTTGTTTTTTCAAAATCGAGCAGATTTCAGCTTATCACTGTAATAGCATCAATTACATTTCTCTCACTTATTTGATTTGGTATATCTTTTTTTTTAATTAATTAATTTTTATTTTTGGCTACGTTGGGTCTTTATTGCTGCGCCCGGGCTTTCTCTAGTTGCGGTGAGCAGGGGCTGCTCTTGATTGCGGTGCGCGGGCTTCTCATTGTGGTGGCTTCTCTCGTTGCGGAGCATGGGCTCTAGGTGCACGGACTTAAGTAGTTGTGGCATGTGGGCTCAGTAGTTGTGACTCGCGGGCTCTAGAGCACAGGCTCAGTAGCCGTGGCGCACGGGCTTAGTTGCTCCACGGCATGTGGGATCTTCCTGGGCCAGGGATCGAACCCGTGTCCCCCGCATTGGCAGGTGGATTCTTCACCACTGCACCACCAGGGAAGTCCCGGTATATCTTTTTTGAATATGAGGAAAACTTGATGGAACTATAGCTAGTATGTAGGAATTGAGCATGGGGTTGTGGGTGACCAGTATGGATCTCCTCTGTCATGTGTGCTACAATAGAGGAAAGGAGAACCACTGGGCTAAAATTAGGGGGGAAGATGATTCCTTTAAACTCGAAGAATCATTTTCTTGTTTTGAACATCAGTATTCATGCTTTGCTCTATTTGGCCTTGGGAAATACAGAACTTGAGAACAGAGGTTTTTGCCTCATTTCTTCATATCTGTTCAGTTTTTTAGTAGCTGTTTTAAGTCCAGCTTTCCCCAAGACTTTTAGCCACAATGATAAATCCTCTTCTGAGTTTTTATTTTACCAAGTCTTAGCTACAATGCTTTTCCAAGTAACGGAGTATCTTTTTCTCTTTATGTGACCATCTCATATGAAAAAATATGCACTTTACATGTAAGTTGAAATTAATTTCATTTTCTAGAGAAGAAACTATAACTTAACACATTTACTTTTTTAATGGAAGGAACTCAAAATCCTAAGGCCTAAATCAGGAAACTTTGGCTCTAGTCCTGGCATTTCCATTTTACCAGTTGTGAAATATTGGACAAGTCACTTAATATCTCTGTATGTCATTATTCTCAACTTTAAGATGAAGGATTTCAAATCTCTAAGATATTTATAGTGTATTGGAAAACATTTCTTTCGTGGTTCTGAAAGTTAGTGAACAAAAATAGCTCTTTAAACATTTTTGAAGGCAATATCGCCATCTAGTGGCTTTTCATAAAATTGCCATTAAAACCAAAACTAAATTTTCCCAAACCTATGTAGGGTGTGAATGGAAGAATTACCTCTTGCTGCTTGTCCAGGGAGTAGATGACATTATATTCAGAATTAAAATTGCCTCCTTGGTGCTGGTCTTTTTACTTTTGTTCTTGTCTTTTCAGTACAGCTAGAATTGTAGTTATTTTAAAGACAGGGATCATTATTTTAAACTGTTGTGTTTTATATGCCTTAAAGCATAAAACACATTCATAGTAACTGCTTGATTAATTCTAATCCTTCAAATGTTATATTAATATTGATTGTTGGCCCTTCAAATATTATATTTTATTTTTGCCAAATGAAGTATGCTCATTTAGTCTTCCAGCAAGTTGTGTGATATTTCCATTTCTGAATCTCCCTTAAAGCTCCTTATGTATCTAATAAAGTCTATAAATGCGAAATATTTTGATAGCATCAAATATTTAAAATTACCTGAGATTTCATGAAAGTTTTATGATGA